TAGGATCCCATCTTCAAAGCTGACAACCCATTACCTCACAGGATGCCCCCTCCTGGTCACCAGACCCAAAGCAGCTTGGGATGTTTTTCAGTAGTTGTTGTTGTTTTTTTGCATTGTGTTTTTGTTATGAAGAAGTTTGAGTTTATTGCCAACTGCATATTTTAAGGATCTAAATAGAAATTTAGCACTAAGTCTGGAAAGTTCCAGGAGGACTTGAGTGCTAGCTTTCTCCTAGATTGCTTACGGTCCCTGGGGCTACAGCAGACCAACTTCTCTAGCTGGCGTTGGCTGCTCCCAGGCCCAGCCAGGGTCCCTGCTTTAGAGACAAAGGTGAGGCTTCAGTACCCACTGCACCCTCCCACCCCCCCTAGCCCCCGGCTCTTAAATTTCTATTTTAGCTCCTCTACACCACTCGCGCTTGGGATATTAAACTCTACCTTCTTCATAGACAACAAATACAAATGCAACCACCCCCACAACAAACTTACTGAAAACATCCCAGCTGCTTTGCCGGTCCTTGGTGCCAGGCCAGGGGCATTCCTGTGGGATAGGGTTGTCCCGCTTTGAACGCGTGGCGGCTCTAGGGGACAACCCATGGAGTATATACGTGGCCTCCCTCTTCAGTGGGAAAGCCGTATTTCTGTTCTACGTAGTTAACCTAAGAGAGTGTCAGGTGATACCGGTTGGTCTGGAGAGAGTCTCGGCAGTCAGCTAGCTTTTTAGACTCTCTTATGTTAGGTGGGATCCTGTGTGCTGGCACATGCTAAGAGGAATGATGTAAGTTACGAAAGGGTCCGCTGGACCTGGAGTCACTGGGCTCCTAGGGACACATGGATATATACGTGCCTCCCCCCTCTTCAGGGAAAGTGTTCTGTTCTACGTAGTTAACCTAAGAAACTTATCCGGAGTCCCCGGAAATTCTCAATTTAGCTTTTAAATCTAATTTTATGTTGTGTGTGGAATGCTAAAGGAATGAGAAAAGTTTGACAAAATGTTGAATATAGACAACAAAGAAGGATGTTACAACTAGCAATGCCAACACTGGTGCTGGAGGCCTGTTTCTCCGGGCACTGCTGGGCACCTACCCCAAATCCATGCCCTCTTCCCCACTCAGCAACAGGACTCTGGTTTTTTTCAGGCTGATTTTTTTCAGACACATTTGTCCATTAAATCAGTTCCCTCCCTGGACCCTCTGTGACTGAAGCTGGCCCCGTGACTTGGTTCTGGCTTTTGTTTTCCTGATTAAAAAGCAACAGACCTGGTGGGCCATGCCTTCCGCTCTTCCCCCTTCTTCCTGCCTAGAATGGAGATATGGGTCTGGAGACGCAGTGGCAGATGTCTCGTGAGCACAGGATGGTAGCAGGGATTCCCTGGGAACCAGTAGCCCTTAACCCCTCATCCACACAGTCCCCATCGCTCTAGGAGCCTGGAGAGATGCCAGAGCAGGCCCAGCCAGCTCACCCAGAGGCTTTATGCAAAATGAAGCCCCTTCCCATCACCCTGAGACTCAGTCCCATGGCAAACAGCTTGGGAGAGAAGCACTACTCAGATTCCAGCCTCATCCCTGGCAGCCAGTGTCCACGTGTAGCAAGCAATTTACACAGACCTACGTGGTGGCCCTGAGCCTGACATGCCCTTGGCCCCATTCTCAGTAGAGCTCAACTTACAGCAACACGCATGCCCACACACACCCCTGTAAGTCAGGGAGGGGTGAGCCACTGAGCACCCCGAGATCATGGGAGAGCTGTCCCCACAGAAGATTCTGCACATTTGCAGAGCACTTCCACCCATATCATGAAGGAAAGAATAAGTATTAAAGAAATACCTGAAATGGAATTATGCAAACTCTAGATTTTAGCAAAAAGGTGCTTTAAAGTGCTGTTCTTTATAATCACAATAAATCTCCACCAGATGCTACTAAACACTCACATGTCATCTGGTTAGCACTGCCTGAGATGACGGAGTGGGTTGGGTAGGGCTGTCCAACTCTCTCCTTCCCTCTGACAGTAATCTAAAGCAGCACTTACAAGAACAAGCCAGAGCTCTATGTGCCCACATCCATGTCCAAGGATTGGCAGTCATCTATTCTGTTCCATTTGAATTGTCCTTCTGAGTCAAAGCCTCAAATCAGCAATAGTGAACTTCACTAGGTCCTCCGCATGGTCCTGTGACAGAGCAACTATCGTCCACTCTTCCTTCCCAAAGCGTCTCATCACCATCCGTCCTTCTCCATTCCCACCTCTCCACCCTGGGCCTGACCACCCAGAACTCCACTTCTCAGAGCAGCCCAGCACTCGCCTCCTGCTTCTGGTCTCTTCTCTCCCTAACCCATCCATCCTACTCTTGCTAAAAGGAACTTTTCTGGCCAGGCACAGTGGCTCAAGCCTGTAATCCCAGCACTTTGGGAGGCCGAGGTGGGCAGATCACAAGGTCAAGAGATTGAGACCATTCTGGCCAACATGGCGAAACCCTGTCTCTACTAAAAATACAAAAATTAGCTGGGTGTGGTGGCACGTGCCTGTAGTCCCAGCTACTCGGGAGGCTGAGGCAGGAGAATCACTTGAACCCGGGAGGTGGAGGTTGCAGTGAGCAGACACCACACACACGCTTGGTGACAGATGGAGACACCATCTCAAAAAAAAAAAAAAAAAAAAGAAAGAAAGAAAAAAGAGGCACTTTTGCTTAGTGCATTTCTTTGGCCAGTAAGCCACAGTTTGCCCATGATTTAAAATTTGAAAATAAGGAAATTGCTCATTGATGGGAAGGGGATATAAAGCAGAGGTCAGAGAAGAGTGGTCCTTGTGAAGGTTAGAAAATGTAAATGCCCTTCTTGAAGGGGACAGCATCTAGAAGGAGGGAGTGAGCTGTGATGGGGCAGAGGTCAGACAGGTATCAGGAACAGGAGAGGAAGCAATGCTTCTAAGTAGGAAATCAGAAAGTTGTTCTGCAACTGATAAGAAACCAGACACCCCCAAAAAATACCCAAACAAGGAAACAAAGCAAAAACCCTCTTGTATCTTCTATCTGAAGAAAATGCCAACATTTTCTTGAGAGTAATAAATGAAGACTTGGATAAATGAGAAACTTCATGTTCCTAGATAGGAAGTTTCAATATCATAAGTGTGCTTTAGTTATCTCTTATCTAATTATATATATATTTATATATGTAACATGTATATTTATATATAAAACATAAATATATATAGAAGTAATACATATATTGGCTGTCCAGTAGATATATTACGTTTATTTTGCATATATGTAAAACTATCAAAATTCCCATAAGATTTGTTTTTGGAATTAGAAAAAAATGTCTAAAGTGAACATGAGAGAATATTGTATGAAAGTGTCAAACATGTTCTTAAAATGTAGAGTTATACATACATAATATCTACCTAATCAGCTATCAGCTGTGTAGCACTGGCCCTAGAATAGTTGGAATAATAGAACAGAATAGAATAATAGTACAGAAAAAGCTCTTATACAATCGTCCAGGACATTCTAACAAAGACACTAAGATTAGTGACCCAGAATCTAACATAAAAAGATCCATTTTTAATACGGAATCAGAAAAACTAACTTTAAGCCAAACAAACTGATATGGCAAGTGAATATT